TCTTTTCTAGCAACGCACCCAGTAACTGCAAGACGGCTGCCGCCAAGTACTGGCTGATAATTAACTCTGCCTGCTGAAGCTGTTCTCCGAAACCACGCTCCCAGAACAGAAGTTTCCAAAAGCTTGCTTACATCAATCTATTGTCGAATTGTATCAATGATTAATAGATCCGCCCTTAATTAAAACTTGAATAGAATCTCTGATTCAATTGTTAAAACTTTATGAATTGATCATTAGGTCACGTAGCCCCTCTCCCATTTACTTGCATGTATCTCATTTTCAATAAAAAGGCACGATATTTCCTAGCAGTTGTCACTCCTCAGAGAGCGATCTTAGAGGAGTGTCCGGCTTAGGACGTGCATGAAAAAGCGCGAGGCCTTTGTCTTTCTTTTCTTCCAGCGTCGCCTCCGTCGAACCAACCCACCCCCGCCGAGGCTGGTCCCCGGCACCCCAGGTTCTGGAAATGCTGAGCTGGTAGAGAGTACCAGCCATGATGGTGCAAGGGAGATGGGGGGGCACTGCAATGGTGCAAGGGGGGGATGGGGCTGCGTCATGGCTCGGGCTACAGGGAGGCCCAGGTTTGGTTCCCAGACCACCCCAAGTAGGCCATGTGCAGGGGTGCACACCTGTGGTCCTAGGAGGACAGCAGGAGGGTTGTAACCATAGGTCTGGGGCTTCATGTAGCTATGTTGGCACCTGAAGGGAAAAAGCCCGTCTGAAAACGAAGCCAACAGAGAAGAAAGCAGAGCTGAGAGACAGAGACATATTCCTGACATGAATGAACTTCTGGATTTAGCCATGCCTGAAGACAACTATCAAATCTGTTCTAGAACTTTTCAGTTACCTTAATCAGACTCCCCTGCTTTAAGCTAATTTGCATTTAGTTTCTGTTTTTTCTTTTTTTTTTTAAGGTTATTTATTTTACTCATGATTGAGAGCACGTGCACAGGAAAGAGAAGCAGAGACATAGAGACAGAGAAGTACCCTTGACCGTCTTAGCATGCCACAATCCCCTTCTCCCAGCTCTCCAGCTACTCAGGATCTTGAGCACATATGCGCTTTGTGGGTTGCAGCCAGCGGGGCAGGAGACCCAAACCTGCGGCCAGCCCTGTGGCTTCTGACACAAACTGTGCCACTGAGGCTGGGTCCGTTTCAGTTTTGTTTTTTTTTTTTCTTTAGATGAAAGAATCCTGAATGACACAATGATGATCTTATTAATGGTGATGGTGGTGGTGGTGACTTTTTCTCTCTGGGGATTCCGCTAAGAGGTTGCTGATCCCTAATCTAAGTGCTTATTTCTGTTGCTCCAACAGGGCATGCACGAGCAAGATCAACGCTGTGACACCCACCAGACCCACCAAGGACAAGAGCACCGCTTGAGGGAAAGTACCTTTTTTCACAGACAGTGCCCCAGATCCTTCTGCTGGCCAGAGAGAGCCACTCGATCCTTCTCTCATACGTGCGCATTGCTCTGCTGAGCTGTTTCTACAAAGCAGGGGTCACAGTGAGTGGCTGCTCAGAGAATGGGCATGACGGGATTTGTGAGGAAGCACGTGTACCCAGTGGGCTTCTGGGAGCATCAAGTCCATAGGTATCCAGGCAGAATAAACGTCCCACTCAATCTGGGGAGAGTATTCACTCCATCGAACGGAAGGAGGTATCAATAGCCCTTGCCCTGGATTAGAGACTTTTGTTTGTGGCACAAAGAGGCAGGCGAAGGAAGCTCCAGAGGACCTGCTGGTGGAGCACACAGTCTCTTTACAAGAGAGGGCTCCTTGGGGACAGCAGGTGGCAAAGTGGTTAAGACGCTGGACTCCTACATGATTGTGCTTTGAGTCCCAGACCTGGCTTGAAATTCATGCTGTGCCTGCATGCCCAAAATCCCAGGAGGAGAAGGGATAGAGGCATGGCATCCACCTTTGGGGGGTGATTTCTCACTTTTTGTTTTTCTCTCTGTCTCTCCAGCGATCACACATACCCTATAACAAAAATCCCTTCCCCCCAAAAAAGAAAAATTAATTAAAAAGCAACAACAACAACGACAACAACAAGAGAGGGCTCCGTCACTTGCTGTGTCTTCGCACCTATTCTGCCTTCCTACTGTTCCCCTTCCCACACACCCCGTGCTCTGACTCTCGGCACCCATCGCTGACCTGGTACTCGTAGAGGAAGGGTGGGTCCACATGGAGGTTCTTCACTGTCCCGTCGTGCCATTCGAATTGTACCATTGCCTTCTGGACCCGTGTGGGGAGGGGGAGCAGGGGCACAGAAACACATGTAGAGGAGAATTGTAAGTTTAATTCGGGCCCTGAGTTCTCCACATCAAGTGCATGAAAAGGAAATAGGCTCTGGGCACATCCGGGGGTCAGATCAACACCCCTAACACACACACACACTCCACCAGGTCATTGTCTTGTCTGCAGGTGTCAACAGAGGGCCTTCAGGAGTGTGGCCCTCCGAATGAACCATGCCTGACAACAAGCCAGGCTGCCTTCCTGGAGGTGCTGTTTTGAACAGAGACAGTAAGGTATGGTTGGAAGGTTTGGAAACAGAGAGCAGGACTGGAGACCTTAAAAATACTGGCTGGGGTTTCTTAGGTTTGTGAATTCAGGTAGACCTTCATGGACACTTTTGCAAATTTAATTGCTTATCCCATTTTTTCATTCTCCACCAAGTCATCATAATCCTGTCTCTATTACTCTTCCTTCTAGTTACCTATTCATTCATAGCTAGAACTGTTCATTCCTCAGGCTGGCTCTGTGGGACAGGGACTAAGAGAGCCAGATCCCACATGGAAAACTGTGACTCAAATCCCAGTCACGATAATTAGAAAAACATGTGGAGGAACCAGCAAGTGGTGTAGTGGTTAAGACGCTAGACTCCCACATGGCCAACCACAGTTCAAGTCCCAGACCTGGTGGCTTGAATCTCATGCCAGGCACATGTGCCTTGCATGCCCAAAATCTCAGGAGGAGAATGGAAGAGAAATGATCACACTGTGGCCATCCTCCCCCTGGGGGGGGAGGGGCGGTGATTTCTCACTTTCTCTTTCACTGTCTCTCTGGTGAACACACGTGCCATTTGCCAAAACCAAAAACAAACAAACAAAACAAAAATAAAGGAAAAAGAGAAGAAAAATATGCTGAGCACATGTGCATGCATGTCCCAAATCCCGATGAGATGCAGAATGGAGGAGGAATTGCAGTGTGACCACACGCCATCAGGGGGAGCTTTGTCCTCTCTCTGGCGAGGAATGCATGTACTCTCCGGCAATAATGAGAAACAAACCCATACATCCCTTACTCCACGTCCCTTTTCTTCCGTTCTTCTACTTTCCACTGTTCCTTCCATTTCTCAGCCTTCCACTCCGCTATCACCCCACCCTCACTCTAATTTTGCCTTTCATCCTTTCCTCTTTCCTTTATTCTAACCTGCCACCCATTCTGCCATTTTCCCCTGTCCTCCTTTCAAGTGTTTACATGTCCATCCATCAGCCCATCCATTCGTCCTTCCTTTCTTCCATCCACCCACCTACATTTTGCTCATGCATCCCATTTCCATGCATCCACTTACCCATCATTCTTTTCCTTTTTTCTTTCTTTCTTTTTTTTTTTTTTTTTTTTTTGCATGTGCGCTTGCCAGACAGAGAGAGACATAGAGACAGAAAAGCGAGAAATCACCCCCCGGGGGGGATGGTCATGCTGCAATCCCTTCTCCTCCATTCTCCTCTCGGGATCTTGGGCACGCACGTGAGTTTTAAGTCACCGGGTCCAGGACGCGAACCGCGGTCGACCACATGGGAGTCCAGCGACATAGCCATTACGCTAACTGCCGGTCCCAACCCAAACCTCTGGGTCCAAGACTCAAACCGCAGTCAGCCATGTGGGAGTCTAGCACCTTAATCACTACGCCACCTGCTGGTCCCTACGGTAGGTCTGATGAAATTTCTAGAGTCCCAGCAGAAAGCCTGCATCCCACTCCAGGCCTTAGGCCTACATCCATATAGCTCTGCCTTAAAACTCTGAATGCCTGAACATTGGGAAGTGCCACAATTTTCCTGTAGACAGTGTGAGAGAACTCTAAATTTCTATTACCTCATGGATAGTTGATGATACCGTTTTCTGAAGAATAGGCACAAATCCTTCCACGGGAGAGAATGCGTTGGGTGCCAGAACCTGATAAAGGCTTAATTTCTTGGCTGAAAAAATAAATAGTGGGGGGCTGGCAGGTGTTATGGTGGTTAAGACACTGGACTCCCCAATGGCTGACTATGGTTCAAGTCCCGGATCCAGAGGCTTACTTTTTAACTTTTTCTCTCTACCCAAACTTAAATAAAATAACAACAACAATAATAATAATAAATCTAATTAAATAAAATAATTCTTGAAAATTTGTTTTAAAAACTAAATAAATGGGGTCCAAGGCATTGCCATGGAAGCCCCAAAGGGTTCACGCCTTTCAGTGGGTCATCTGTGCCCTGGGTTCTGGCCTCTTTGGGATTTACCTTTTAGGCCATTGGTCTTTAGCCATTCTGCAGAAGTCTTGTCCAAGTTTGGGAACTCAATGGTGAGAGGAGCTTCATGCTTTGGGGGTTTCGGCAAGAGACATATGAGCGGCCCTTTTGCAACCTCCGTGGAAATCTAAATTAAATTAGAAAGCCCCCATTACATACTCATATTTTAGAAGGAGAAAGTCCTCAATCCGCACCCCCCACCCCCCAATCCAGTCCTCCAAATGGAGCATCTTAGAACATTATCTGGTCGATTACGGGCACTTCGGCCTTCCTCTCTCCTCATCCCAAACCCCTTTTCTCTGGAGACTTCTGGAATTTCCAGAGAAGATGGAAAGGTACCCAGAAATTTGCTTTCTCTTTCATTACTCATCCTCCTCACCCTTTCCTTATCCTTCCCATTAAGATCAGCACCACAGGGGTCAGCAGGAGGCATGGTGGTTGAGACACTGGACTCCCACATGGCTGACCGTGGTTCAAGTCCTGGACCTGAAGGCTTGCTTTCTCACTTTCCCTCTCTCTGTTTCTCTCTGGTGAGCACACATGTCCTGTAGCAAAATTTTTAAAATCACAATAAATAAAATAAATAATTAAAATAAAAAAGATTAGCACCACGGTCTCCACAGTGACAGGTCACCCCTTCATGGCATCAAAATACAAAGCCAAAAAGTAACCCCTACACCAAATTGTTTTGGGAGTCCTGATCTAGCCCAGTCTTCCCTCACCCAACTTCAGAAAGTGAAAAACTGGGGCTCGAAGGGGTTAAATCATATAGTAGCACATAAATAAAACATGACAACGATTCCAGCACCTCAGACACTGAGCACCTACCTCGTTGACCATGCAGGTTAGCTCCTCGCTGGGGCTGCTGCGGTGCAGGGCTTGGACATGGCCCAGGATGCCCTGGGCCTTCTGGATTTCTGCAAGGAGCTCATCCATGTCCCGGCTGCTGTAAAGCTGGGGGCAATGGGAGCAATCAGCCCTCCTGAAGGTGCTCATCTTCCAGCTGTGGCCAAGGCAGGAAGGGCGAGGAGCCAGGTCCATTCTCAAAGCTGAGGGGCAGACTGCTTGAACCAGACGTTAGAAACATGGAGCCTGCACATGGAGTTTGTTCCATTTGTATGGTAGTGGCCTGGTGTTTTTAAATAATCGAAGAGTTTTCTAACTTTAAAACCATGAAGAAGGGCTGGTGGAGTGTTGGTTGCAGTGGATGGATTCTACATGGCCAACTGTGTCGTTAGAGCCCTGAACCCAGCAGCTTGAAAAATATATGAGACGTGTGTGTGTTGTACTTAGAATCCCAAAAGGAGGGAAAAATAGAGACTTCCCCACGAAGTTGCTTTCTCACTTTCTCTCTCTGGAAGGTGCAAATTAAAAGAAGTAAAGAATCACTTTACACTCACTGGATGTCTATGATAATAGGTATGATAATTTTAAAAAAAGAATTATTCTATTCAACTTTATTTATTTATTTTAGTTTGATCAGAGAGGGACAGAGAGAGAGAGAGAAAGTGAGAAAGCAAGCTGCCAGGTTCAGGACTTGAACGGTGCTCAGCCATGTGGGAATCCAGTGCCCTTAACTACCACATCACCTGCTGACCTTGGTATAATAATTTAAGAATTTTTTATTTATTGGGACCAGCGTAATGGTTATGTTACTGGACGTCAATGTGGCAATCCACAGTTTGAGGCCCAGATCTTTAGGCTTCAAACTCACACAAAGCACATGTATGTGTGTGCCCTAAATTCCAAGAGAAGAATGAAGAAGAAGGGACTCCAGCAGGCCATCCTCTCTTGGGAGTGATTTCTTGCTTTCCATCTCTGTCTTTCTCTGTCTCTCCTACACCCTATAGCAAAAACTGTGCTTAAAAAAAAGAATTATTTTTTATTTAACATTATTATTATTTTTAAACTTGCTACAGGGCATGTATACTCACCTCTCAGAGAGAGAGAGAGAAAGGGAGAAAGCAAGCTGCTAGGTCCAAGACTCGAAGTGAGGTCGACCATGTGGGAGTCCAGTGCCTTAACCACCATGCCACCTGCTGTCCCCAATAAGTATCATTTTTTTAAAATGAAAAATAGTAAGTGTTGGTGAGGATATGGAGAATTGGAACCCTGGTTTAGTGCTGGTGGGAAACAGTTCTTCAAAAATTCAAACATAAGTTCCCATAACATAGTGGCAATGCACACTCAAGAGAAGTCAGATGACACGTGACTATGGTATGAATGCCCGACCTGGCCAGCACGCAACACACTAGGGACAGGTTCAAGTGCCCAAGATCCCACAGGCTAGAGGACTGGAGAAAGGGGACTGTGGCATGACTCTACCCTGTGAAGGTCCTCGTGTCTCTTTCTCTCACTCTCATGTGCATACACACACACTCTATTATGAATAAAGAGAAAATAGAGTGATCCAGCAATTCTACTTTATATACCCAAAATTACGGAAAACAGAGACTCAGATACTTACACTGTCATGTTCCCAGCGGCATTATTCATAACAGACAAAAGGTGGAAACAAACCAAATGTCCATCAACAGGTGGATGGATAAACAGAATGTGGTATATCCATGCAGTGGAATATCACTCAACCGTAAAGATGAGTGAGGTTCTGATATGTACTAGGACATGGGTGAACCTTGACAACATCATGCTAAATAAAAGCAGACAGACACAAAAGGGATGTGATTCCACTGATATGAACCACCCGGAAGAGGTCTCTCTATTCAGACAGAGAAAACTAGTGATTGCCAGGGGCTGGAGCGGGGAGGGGGATGAGGAGGGACCGCTTTGTGGGTGTAGGGTTTCCTTTTGGGAGGATGAGAATGTTTTAGAACTAGATAAATGTAGAAGCTGCACAATATTTTGATGTACTAAATGCCACTGAATTGCTCACTTTAAAATATTGGGTTATTGGAAGAGTCATGACACTTAATTTTTTGAAGAATTATTTCATTTAACTTTATTTTTTCATTTATTTTAATTTGACCAGAGAGGGACAGAGAAAGAGAAAGAGAGAAAGAGAGAAAGCAAGCTGCCAGGTCCAGGACTCGAAATGCTATTAGTCATGTGGAAGTCCAGCACCCTTAACCATCATACCTCCTGCCAGCCCCCAAATTATGACACATTTTTACATAGAAAAAATACATCATGACTTTTCTGACAACCCAATAATTCCATATTATGCGAATTTCACCTCATTTTTTTTTACATGTGAAGAAATCACATAGAGGAAAATTCAGATTTCTGATTTCTGTCAAAAAAATCAGATGAGCAGGGCCAGCAGATGGGATAGCACGTACGTCACTGGACTCAAGGCTGACTGTGGTTCAAGATCCAGACCCAGTGGCTTGAAAATCACAGAGTGCATGTGTGTGCATGTCCAAGATCCTGGGAGGAGAATGGAGGAGAAGGGATTGCGGCGTGGCCATCCTCTTGGGGGGTGATTTCTCAATTTCCCTCCCACTATCTCTATTTCTCTCAAAAGAGAGACATGCCCTAAAGCAAAACCTCAAAAAAAAAAAAAAAAAAAAAAAAAAAGAAATCAGAAGAGCTAGGATCACATTCCCACAGAGTAACAACCAGCTGACCCTGAGAAGAGTCTGTGCTCTAGATGAGACCTAATTTTTGTCATCTTTGCACTATTTGTTTTATTCATATGAAAGAGGATGAAATTTTTATTTATTTGTTTATTTTAATTTGACTAGAGAGGGACAGAATAAGAGAGAGAGAGAGGGAAAACGAGAAAACAAACCACCAGGTCCAGGACTCGAACCACAGTTGGCCATGTGGGAACCCAGAACTCTTTAACCACCACACCACCTTCCAGCCCAGAAGATGAAAATTAAAAATAATTTTTTTTTCTTTACTCATGGTAAAGAAAATATGAGGGAAGAACAGGGACATGTGCACACAGGTGACAGTGAGAGCGGAGGAGGGAGGGAAGGGGGGCAGAGAGAGAGGAGCACTCTCCACAGGGTCTCTCTCACAATCTCCTTCCTTCAGTCATTGGGCCTGTCAGATCCTGAGCACTCAAGAGTGTGCCTGATGGGTTCCAGGCTGACTGGGCCAGGGATTCAAACTGCAGCCACCCTGTGAGATCCAGCTGCTCTAGAGCACAGTGTAACTACTATGCCGAGGAGCTGGCCCAGAAGATGACATTTCTGTACCACCTCTTTATCGAGAGAGGGAAAGCAACAGATGAGAGGGCTGCAGGTTTTAAGGCATAATATTTCTTAAACCAGCCGGTTTCATTCATTTACTTTCCCCTCTCAGCTTCCGCAGTCTGATACCTACAAACGGAGTCTAGGCAATGAGAAATCAAGGAGAGTCTCCTGATCCTGGCTCCCTGGTATGAAATGTTAGGCTCTGTGACAGTAGAACACATGTGTGAGACACTTGAACCACTTGAGAGATTAATAACCATTTAGTCATGATTCTTAATGGTTATTAACAGGCACAGTTTGCTAGCCTAACAAATGATGGGATTCTCTTTATATATATATATTTTTTTTTTAGAGAGATTTTTACTATAGGGCGTGTGTGCTCACCAGAGAGACAGAAAGCAAGAAGTCACCCCCCAGGGGTATGGCCATGCCGCCAACCCTTCTCCATTCTCCTCTCGGGATTTTGGGCATGCACACACACATGCGTGGTGTGAGTTTTAAGCCGCTGGGTCTGGAACTCAAACTGTGGTTGACTACGTAGGAGTCCAGTGACGTTATGCCATCTGCTGGCCCCACGAATGATGGGATTCTTAATCTGCCAGAAGGACCTACACACGTTACCATCATTGTGAACACAGGGTGAGTGATGCTTAGTTACTGACTGGGACAAGGACACTAATGGATGGGCTGGTACAACACTGACTGCTCGTTTGCCCTGTGTGCATGTCCTGCAGCAGCAGGGTTCTGTCTAGGAGAGAGAATTGAGCAGCAGTTCAGGCTCTGCCTTGGGGAGAGCAGAGGCAGCCTGGGGCCTGTGTCTATGGCCATGGATATTAGTTGAGGAGGCTGCTGGCCAGGCTTCGAAAGGCCTCGAGACTCACAGGTGTGCAATCAACTCATCAACTCATCACACACCACCAAAGGATCTCACATGATTTTGGTTTGTCCCTGTTCTTCTTTCATATTCATTTTAAAAAAGGAATTATTTAGGGGGCTGGCAGGTGGCATGGTGGTTAAGGGCGCTAGACTCCCACATGGCCAATTGCAGTTCAAGTCCCAGACCTAGCGGCTTGCTTTCTCTCGTTCTCTCTCGCTCTCACTTGCTCTCTCTCTCTGTCACTCTGTCTTTCTCTGGTCAAATTAAATAAGTAAATAAATAAAGTAAACAAATTAAAATAAGCAAATAAATAATTTTATTTATTATTATTTTTTTAATTCAACTGGAAAGAGATAGGGAAAGTGAGAAAGCAAGCTGCCAGATCCAGGACTCGAACTGCAGTGGGCCACTTGGGAGTTCAGTGCCTTAGCCACCACACCACCTGCTGGCCCGATCCCTCATATTCATTTGAACTTGATTTTACCTGTGTAAACCCACTGAGTCAGGGGGGTGGAGCAACGGGAATGGGGAAGCAAGTACATAGCATGGTCTGTCCTGGCCCGGATCCCCTGGGCACAGCCCTGGAGGCAAGGACGGGGACCAAGTGTGGGCAGAGGGGCTTACCTCTGTCTCAGGGCTGTAGCAGTGGTAGTCACCCCCAAGACCTTCAGCAAGGTTCTTCAGGACTGCCTGTGGGGAGGGGACAGGGATAGCCCTTGGCAGGCAGTGCCAACACTCCACGTGCTTTCTCCCTGGCTGAACCTCCCAGCTATGCAGTGCTTCCCCCGCTACCAAGGGCAGAACTAGCACAGGAGTGGTGTGTCTGGTCCACAGCTGCAGGAGCCTGCCGAGGCTCAGAGCCTTAACACTGGCCCCACTCCCCAGCGCCAAACCCAGGGAAACCCTGCAAGATCCCAGATACTTACAGAGGGCACCTGACTGTCACATCTGTAGGTGATGACATGGACAGCGATGCCCCTTCCCACTGTGGCCTGCTGGATGTAATCAGACAGGATGCCAGAAGGCTGATCTGGGCTGGGGGAAGACAGATCGAGAGAGCTGAGAACCGAGGGTCAAACGACATTTGTTGGTAATTCCCAGGGAGCCTGTATTAGCTGACCCTCCGTGTCCTAGTTCACCTATATAAGGTGCAGGGCTGGGTGGACTACAGGCGCAGCTGGTTCTGGCTGCCCTACCCATCTGGGCAAACTCGATCCTTCTCTCAAGAGTGAGTGAAGAATCATGTGTGATGATTTTTCTTTTTTCTTTTTCTTTTTTTTAGAGAGATTTTTGCTATAGGGCATACCCACTCACCAGAAAGAGGGAGACAGGAAGCAAGAAATCTCCCCCCAGGGAGAATGGTCATGCCACAATCCCTTCTCTTCCATTCTTTTCTTGGGATCTTGGGCACACATGCACACATGCCTGGCGTGAGTTTTAAGTTGCCAGGTCCAGGACTTGAACCGCAGTCGACTACATGGGAGTCCAGCGACGTAACCATTACACCATCTGCTGGCTCCTTAATGATCCTTTCTAACAGTGGTTTGGTTCTTCAGCCTTTTTCCTGCAGTCGGTTACCGGCTTAGGAAAGGAGACTCACCAGCTTCTCATTATAGTCACCAGGGAATTCAGCTCCCTGAGAGAGAAGGCCTTCTTCAGGGCTTGTAGCAAATTGCTGCCTCCGTCAGGCTGCAGGTCCTTCACCCAGAGCTTGAGCTCCTGGAGGCTGGGAGACAACAGCAGCGACTAGTGACTGTACTCCCTGGTGCCAGGCCGGGACACTGTGGCTCATTCAGGCCTCGCAACAAGGCTTTGAGCGGATACTTTCACTCCCATTTTGTGGATGAGGACACAGACTCAGAGTTAGGACTTGCCCAAGGTGATACAGCAAGCAATGGTCAAAGTGAGATTTCAAACCAGGCCTGACTCTGGAAACAGGAGCATCCAGGATCTCTGCTATTTAAGGGTCTGGGGCTGAGTCCCTTCTTCCCACCCCATGTCCCAACTCCCTGAGAGCCAGACCTCAGCGTGAAGCGGGAGGCTAATCCCCTGGCCCTAAGGGGTTATCATTGCTTGTGTTTATGTCCCACGTGGGTGATGACATGGCCCTGGTGAGAGGGAAAATGACTTAATTTGGTACTTTCTTGGTTAAATACCCTGCCTGGCACTAGCAAGAGAATTCTCTTTCCACCTCTCTTTCAGCCTGACAATGAGAAATCTCAGCATGGTGCTAATAAGCCTGTCTTTCATTGTTATAACATCGGCTTTCCCTTCAGAACAGGGAGGGAAAAGATTCAGGTCTGACACCATCTCCAGCCAATAGGTTTCAATATGTGTTGGGTTGTTGGAAAAGTCCCGACATATTTTTTTTACATAAAGATGCGTTATGACATTTCTGGTGATCCAGTAATATCATTGTTTTTCTTTCATCTTATTTATTTTCATAACTACTTTATTTTTTTTAAATTAATTTATTTGTTATTATTATTATTATTATTTCAGAGAGTTCTTTTTGACTTAGGGTGTGTGCACTTACCAGAGAGCCAGAAGGTGAGAAACCACCCCCCATGGGGAAATGGCCACATTGCAGTCCCTTCTCCTTTATCCTCTTGGGACTTTGGGCATGCATGCACATGTGCCCAGTGAGTTTTAAGTTGCCAGATCTGGGACTTGAACTACAGTTGACTATGTGGGAGTCCTGTTATGTAACCATTATGCCATCTGCTGGTCCTTGGTATTATTTTTTAATTTGACTAGAGAGAGACAGAGAGGGAGAGTGAGAAAGCAAGCTGCCAGGTCCAGGACTTGAACCACAGCCAGCCATGTGGGAGTCAGGCATTTTAACCACCATGTCACCTGCTAGCCCCTATTTTCATTACGACTTTCTTTTTTTTAAGAGATTTTCACTATAGGGCACGTGCGCTTGCCAGACAGACAGAGAGAGACATAGAGACAGAAAGCGAGAAATCACCCCCCAGGGAGGATGGTCACGCCGCAATCCCTTCTCCTCCATTCTCCTCTCGGGATCTTGGGCACGCACGCACATGCACCCGGCATGAGTTTTAAGCCACCGGGTGTGGGACGCGAACCGCGGTCGACTACATGGGAGTCCAGTGACATAGCCATTATGCTAACTGCTGGTTCCCACTACTTTCTAATTATGGGAAATGATATGGGCTTCTCAGTTACAGTATTGATAGAAAATTTCCTTCAACAATAAAGAGAGGCCCAGCTGCTGTGGTATAGTGCCACTGGGGTGCCCTGCAAGGCTGGAAGTCACATTGCCCACTGGGTCTTCCTGAAAACCCATGTCTAGGATCCTGAGGATCTGGAGGACTAGGGAGAGGGGCCACAGCATAAGAGACCCTGTCAAGGGTACTTTCTCTCTCATCCAGGTGCATGTGCTCTGTATCATTTAAAATGATAATAATAATAAATAAAATTGTCAGTTCAGCAGCAGTAGCACCATGCTTTGCAAAGCTGGAAGCCACATGGAAGATTAGAGTTTGGGTCCCAGGTCCACCTGTACATGATAGGTATGTGTGCATTAGTAAATCCTGGTTGAATGGAAGACTAGGGGCTGGATCACAGTGGTAGACCATGTTGAGGATGCTTGTCTGTCTCTGTCTCTCTCTCTCAATAAATAAATAAATACACTTTAAAAATAATAACCATGGGAACCAGCAGTTAGCGTAATGGCTATGTCGCTGGACTCCCATGTGGTCGACCGCGGTTCGTGTCCCGGACCCGGTGGCTTAAAACTCACACCGGGCACGTGTGTGTGCATGCCCACGATCTCGAGAGGAGAATGGAGGAGAAGGGATTGCGGCGTGACCATCCCCCCTGGGGGGTGATTTCTCGCTTTCTATCTCTATGTCTCTCTCTGTCTGTCTGGCGAGCGCATGCACCCTACAGTGAAAATCTCTCCAAAATAATAATAATAATAATAATAACCACTAGAGTTGATATAAAGAAAACCTGGTGGGGCCAGCAGATGGCGTAATGGTTACGCTGCTAGATTTCCATGTAGGCGCCCGTAGTTTGAGTACTGGACCCGGCAGCTTAAAACTCACGCCGGGGGGCCTAAGTCCTGAAAGGAGACTGAAGGAGAAGGATTGTGGCATGGTCATCCCCCCCAGGAGGTGATTTCTTGCTTTCTGTCTCTCTTTGTCTCTCTGGTGAGTACATGTACCCTATAGCAAAAATCTCTCAAAAAGAAAAAAAGTACCTGGGAACAATACAAGTGGCACAGAATACATAATAGGACACATGGCAGAGCTATGACACAGGGCATGACAAGGAATGACTGCAGATCTCAAGGTGACTTCCAGTCTGACACCCCAGGGATCACTGGCCCAAGCAGAGTGGAAACCATAGTAAAAACATCCTCGTGTACGAGAGCTGCCACGTGCATGTGCTCCTTTTCTGTTTCATCTTTACAGTCTGTGAGGAGTAGGGATCACTGTCCTGCAGAGGGGAGTGTTAGAGGACTTGTCAGGAGTACCCAGTTACTGTCGCTGCCAGAGCTGGGCACGGCTCTCCAGGGGAGATCCTCTTCACGGCTGGTGCTGGTCTCCCTCCTGGGAAACGAAGCACGTGGTTTTTCCCGAGATCTGCTCTGACCTTGGAATCCATCCCTGGTTCTGCCACTCTGTGCGCGTTCCCTAACCCGAGTCTGAGTTTCCTCATCTGGAATATGAGGCTGATCATCCTGTTCTCTGTGGTAGCTACAGATGTTAGCTATGATCATACATGTGAAGTGCCTGCATGGCACTTAACACATAGGTGATCTAGAATATTCTCTTCGTGGAAAAAGTTCTACTTACTAGCATAAACAAGTAGAAATTTCTATAGCTCTCCCTTCCACTCTCCCCCCAAGAAAAAGAAAAAAATCCCCTCTAAACTAGAACATCCAAATAAAGGGCATCTATGCAATAGAATACTCTTAAATACCCATTACAATAAAATGGCTAGGGTCCAGCCCTGTACTGCCAGGGTCAGGCTCTGAGCAGAGCAAGCCAGATCCCACATGGCTAACCAGGGTTCAAGTCCCATCCCCATTGGCTTCACACTGGGTATGCACGTGTGTGTTCAGAATCCTGGTGGGTTGGAAAGCTAGAGGAAAACAGAATGGCATGGACAGGTTTCAATGGGATATTTTCTCTTTCTCTTTCTCTTTCTCTTTCTCTCTCTCTCTCTTACATGCATGCACATCCTCCGGCATTAGGAAAAAGAGGAATTAGTTAGCTCTGTATGCACTGACAGAGGGTGATATTAAAGGTTAGATGAAAAGCCATGGAGAAGGACAGTGTTACACACTCTTGCTTATAATTAAATAACGTTAACAGGTGCATGCATGTGTCAAGACTGTCTGTGCAGGTAGATGTAAGAAACTGTCATTCAGGGACCAGTAGTTGGCATAATGGCTATGTCACTAGACTCCCATGTAGTCGACTGCAGTTCAAGTCCCGGACTGGTGGCTTAAAACTTACGTCAGGCATGTGTGCATGCATGCCCAAGATCCCGAGAGGAGAATGGAGGAGAAGGGATTGCAGTGAGGCCATCCCCCCTGGGGGGTGATTTCTCACTTTCTGTCTCTCTCTGTCTTTCTAGCGAGTGCACACGCCCAATAGCAAAAATCTCTCCAAAAACAAAAAAGAACCTGTCATTGGGAAGGGAGAAGGGAGACTGCAGTGAGAGGGAGGCTTATTTGCTATTATTTATCCATTCATAGAGTTGGAATTTCTAAAACCATGCATGTGTTCTTTTCATCATAAAAAAGCTATTGTTGCTAGTTTGCTGGATCAAAGTGGTATCCTGTGGTCATCTTGTCTTTCATTTTGTGGACTCAGGAGAGTAACCATCCTTCCAAAAGCTGTTGGCTATCTGTGTCTCCTTTTATGAATTTTCTCTTTGCACTTACTTAATCTATTTGGGTCTTGACAGTTGTACCTTAATCATTCAATGAAGGGACCAGCAGATGGCGTAATGGCTACATCGCTGGACTCCCATGTAGTCAGCTGCAGTTCGAGTCCCGGACCTGGTGGCTTAAACTCACGCCAGGTGTGTGTGCGTGCGTGCGTGCCCAAGATCCCAAGAACAGAATGGAGGAGAAGGGATTGCAGTGTGGCAATCCTCCCTGGGGGGTGATTTTTCACTTACTGTCTCTCTTGACTCTCTGGTGGGTACACCCGCCCTATAGCAAAAACCTCTCAAAAAAAAAAAAAACATTCAATGAAGATATTATGAACAAGTGAACAGTGAACATTCTGGCCAAGGCTGGGTAACCACTCACGTGGAGGCACTGACTTCCACAGGCTCTGGCCAGAGGGGCCTGACGGTGCTGCTGAAGGACAGGACATACAACTTCTCCTTCTGGCTCAGCTGCTCATCAATGAGGCTCTGCTGGACAAACACACATCACTAGCTCCCAGAACTCAGGCCAGGAGGAGCCTGGTTTCACCTCTCTCGCTCTGGCTGGCCCCTCTGCACTGGGGTATGAGCTGTGCTTAGACAGGGCTGCTGGAGTTGGCTCAGTAGCTGATCTAGGCTGGGTGCACCTAAGAAGACATTTGCTTCCTACCCGCTGGGTCTTGTGTGGGTGGAATGAGCATCTTGGCTGCCATATTAGCATGTGCCATGACTGGACACTTGGCACTTCACTGTGGCACCCAAGGAAGGAGGACAGAGATCATGGGTAGTGATTTCTCTCGTTGTGAGATGGGGAAGGAGCAATGGGCACAACATCAGCCTGTTCAATGCTCTTGGGCTGCAGCTAGTGAGTTTCTGAAAGGAAATAAAACTTTTCCTCCTCCTTCCTAGCCAGACAAAAAGTTCACCTGCAGACCACCAGCACGAACCTTGCCCCGGCCAGCAGTAGACCAACCCACCTGGGGGATCTTGGGAAACTCTAGCCTGAGAACTTGGCATGAAGGGGAGCCTATGCTGTCTTGTCATCCACTGAGAGCAAGGACAGAGGAAAATCTAGAGGACTGGTCCACAGTGAGCCTTATACACTCTGCTGAGGTGCTAGCAGGTGGAGTAGCGGTTAAGGTGCTGGACTCCCACATGACCAACCATGGTTCGAGTTCTGGACCTGATGACTTGCTTTCTCACTTTTCCTCTCTCTCTCTCTCTCTCTCTCTCTGGTGAGCACACACACCCTATAGCAAATTAAATAATAATAGTAAATAAAACTTAGAAAAGAGACTCTGCTGGGCCTTTATAAAATATAACAGTCTACTGCTCCCAAATGCTAGGGAGTCTTATAAAAAAAATAACCCTTCCATGGGGCTGGCAAGTGGCATAATGGTTAAGGTGCCAGACTCCCACATGGTTGACCACTGTGTGAGTCCTGGACTTGGTAGTTTGCTTTCTCACTTTCCCTCTCTCTCTTTCTGTGT